ACCCCAAGCACCCTGAGAGCCCAGCCTGCTCCCCCAGCCCCCTCATGGCTACCCTGTTTGCCCCAGCTCTCAGCTCTTTTAAAAAAAAAGCCCCCACTCACCGGGTGCTGCTGGGCAGGGGGGGGGTGATCCCTGTTGCCCCCACTGCCCTATGCTGTATGGGGCAGCTCTCCCACAAGCCCCCCCCCCAGCTGCCCAGCCCACTCCAGCTCCAGCCCTTTAAGAGAAAAAAACCTAACCCTCCCCCCCCCAAATTCACCAGCTCCTACAGTGTCCTCAGAACTTGGGGGCTCATGGAAGAGCCCCCCACATGATGAAAGGCAGCGGGGATCACCCCCTGCCCAGCAGCACCTGGTGAGTCAGGGCTTTTCTTTTCAAAGCACAGAGAGCTGTGGTGGGCAGGGCAGCCATTGCCAGGGCTGGGAGAGTGGGCGTGGGATGGACCTGTGTGATTCGACGATTTGGCAGAATCAATTCAGGACAATGATTCAAATCACCAGATCGAATCACTGTCCCCCGAATCGGCTGAATCCGAATCTGAAGCGAATACTAGCCGCTTTGCATGAGCCTACTGTTTGATTGTCTTGTATATGCAACAAGTTGTGGGTTACCTGGATAGCAGAGATGCTATTGTCCAACAAGTTAACTGGAATCAGGGTACCTTGCTACCTATTATGAACAAATAAGAAGAGTGCATGCAAGGTTGAGTACAGCTCACATACACTGAGCATATCTCTAATACCCATGACCTCCCTGTGTGAAAACATGTCTCTATTATCCCGGAATGTTATAAACATTTTAATGTCAAAAGGAGGTGATGGGGATGGGGAAGGACCCTCAAAACTGCCAGTAGCTAATGCTGCCTTTATGGTTTTATATATTTGCCTATTAAAATGACAATACAGACATGGAACATTTAGATTTAAGAAGCCTTCCTTTCATTAAACAACATTAAACAAACTGACAAAGTAGGGGGTTATGACTTCAGTAATTGAAACATGCTGTTCTGTTCAAAACCAGAACTCTATAAAGACTATTTTCACCCAGTAATGCCCTTTGTGTTTGCCTGCTACCCCTGCTCGAAATTACTGTAGCCCTGAAGTATCTCTCTCCAAGCAGAGTGGGAATGACACAGCACAACACAGCACTTGGCAGATAGGGTCACAGCCCTTTTACAATGTTAACATTCATTGTACTCTGGAAATCAGTTAATAGCTCAGAATGTATGGCAGTGTGAGAGAGAGAGTTAAATGGATTAATCTGGATTACCTCTAACAGCATCCATGTAGTTTTCATTAGCTTAATTTACAGAGTGCTTTTTGGTGGATGCCTCACTATTTTAAATATATGGCCTATGTGTGTATATATTATATTATCTTTATTTTTCCTAGATGTTGATGAATGTCTCGATAACAATGGAGGGTGTCAACAGATTTGTGTGAATACAATGGGCAGCTATGAATGTCAATGCAAAGAGGGGTTTTTCCTGAGTGATAATCAACACACCTGCATCCACCGCTCCATTGGTAAGTGTTCAGGGTTGGCAATACACTCGCAGGAATAACTGTGTTGATCAGAAATTGTTCTTTAAATTTCTTTCCTCAGAGCACCGAAAATCACAGCTTGGTTTTGGAAGAGGTAATTAAATTTATTGCACAAGCAGGTCCACTAGTAGAAGAGCTGGGCAGGGGAAAGAAGATATTGATACAAAGAGAAATATACCTAGTTTGAAGCATTGTCTAATAGAACATACAGAGATATCATCTTATATGACTGAAGAAACCTCTGGTACTGCACAAAAGCAATTCTCCCTGTCTCCTACCTCCACCCTAGACAGCATGGTTCCAAAGTTTAAATTAAAATCAACAGCTGGTTTCTTTTGGAAAGTATAAACATTTTCATATTTTGCCCAGAGTACAGTGAATTTCCTCTAAGAGTTGGTTGCTGCTTGCCAATATTGTATCAACAAACCATTATTTTTTTATTCAGTGCCCTATTTGGGATGGACTAGCAGACAGCTCTCTCTCTTGTTCATACAACAACTGTAAAATCAAGGATTTCCTAAGTGGTTGTGAACCTAGTGCCCTTGGTAAGGGCATCGGGGTGGAAGAGAAGTTTGCATATAACTAGGAAAAAGAGAACAACACAGTTATAAATCTTAGCAAGTGGATTCTCTATGATCATTCAAGCAGGTGATGACCCTGCAAGTAGTGGGAATATAGTCTAGCAAATTTATTTGTCATTGATCAATAACAAAGTGGCAAGACAATCTGACGATCAAATATGCACACACTATATATTTCCACAAGTCATTCAAACAGAGTTTGAATTATTTTAAGTCACTGGTATTAACCAGCAGATACTACTAAGTACAGGATATGAATTTAGTCACTATATTGACAGAAAAACAAAACCTTGTGGTCTACCTGGTAGAGCCTTCTGAAAGCCAAATATATTTCAGGCACAGTGTGTTTGTTTACTCAGAATCATAGAGAGAAATAATAATTTTGATTGCAAAAACATGGAGGATCCAGAATCTATTCACAGCTTTTCTTCATTTTACAATGATTGTCATGTTAAAACTGCTTAGGCACTCTGGTTTTGATCAGAACATGAAATTAAGCTCCATCAGCCAATGTATTTTAAAGGTCATTATCCAATAGGTTTTTAGTCATTCTTTTCAATGTAAATTGTCAGATTTCTGTCCAGCATAAACTAACCCTGACACAAAGATATCCAACAGAGCAAGGAATAGTAGCTGGAGCCTTAATGAAAACCACTTGCAAAGCACTGTGATACAATCATTATTTCAATTTGTACATTATAAAAACCCAGCTATAATAAAAGAGAATTTAGCTATCCGAGATGGAAACTAATGAAATAAATAAAAAATGAAACTCTAAAAGGCAACAGATTTTTATATGGAGGAGATTTATTGAGGGAAATTGTGAGTTTTTATGGCGAGGAAGATTCCTAGTTGGCAGAGAAGACAGGAGGTGTGGATTTAAAAGTTGACTAATGTATGTACTTAATGAGAAATCTGTGGGGTGAGTGTGTTTGTGTTAACTTGTTTATAAGAATATATGAAGTAAGAGTCATTTATTTTAAGCAACACAGTCACATTGTTCAGGGACTGAAAAAACCCCGCAGTGGCAGTTCCAAAATTTGTGATGAACACAACTGTTGTGGCTTTTTCAAATACAAGGTGTCTGTTTGGAAAAAGTAAACACTACCTTGTAGTGTTAAAAACCCACACAAACATATTGAGCTAATGTATTGGAACCAGGAAATAAAATAGAGGGATCTATTTTTGTTGTCCAAGATGACTAGAGTGCAAAAGAGCAAGCATGCTTGGTGCAAAAGTAAATTATGGTTAAAAACATGCCCTCTCTTAATTTCTGTCTGCATCACTGGAGGATCTCTACAAAAAGCATTTGAAGAAAACATAATTTTTTTTTCCATCAAAATAATTAACTGGAGGCCTTGTTAGTGTCAGATTGTCAGCACCTGCCTGGGTCCCCCAGGGTGTATGGGAGAGGGCACAAGGAGCCTTCAAACCCTCCCTGCCTCCCACATCCACTCACAAGGCACCCATCACAATCCAAAAAACAATGGACCTAGTTCACCGAAGCATGCATATTAACCTTAACTGAAAATAAACCCAACACACTTGTTTGTTCAAATACAGGACACACACATTATAATAAACCCTGGTTTTTAACAATCCCACCAGCAGGAACTGATGCAGCAACTTTATTAGCCCTATTATAGCGAGAACCCCCTTTTATGAACTATTCTCCTGGTCCTGTGGGGGTTTATTACAATGAGGTTTTACTATACTTAATATGTGCTAAAATGGCTGTTACTCTATGCCCTTTTAAAAATACATGCTCAATGGAACAATTTGAAGTAATTTACTAGAAATTTCCTCACATAATTCCCAGCTCAGAGATTGTAGTTAAAAGCCACAACAGAGCCTTAGCATGGCACTTTAATAACCTCTTCCCTGTGTCCCAGATGACATGTCCTTTGTGCTGTCCAGAAGTGTTCTTATTATTTCCCATGGGTGGATGGGATCAACTTAATTATCCAAAGAGAAGTTCAAACTTTGTACTAAATGGGTTAGGCTGACACAGTCAGGACAAACCATCCTTTCTCAATGTTTACTTCATTTTCTTTCTTTGTTACTGACCAACTGATTCTCTTCTTGTGTTTAGTCTCGGCATCTTTCAGGCAAAGATTATACCTAGTAAAATGTGATTAATTTATTTATGCCTAAAATTTAATTTCCCATTTTCCAAGTTAAGTTTGAACACTTCATTACAAAAAATGCAAAGAGAAGAAGTGTCAGGGACAAAACAGAACAGAAGAGAAGTGTTCAGTTGTTTATATTACTTCATTTTAGCTTCAACAATAGGTTATGATAAGTATTAATAATAAAAGAGAAATCTTTGTTTCCTAGTGGCTTGAATAGAAACCAGAATCAGAGATTTCCTGACCTAATGCTGGAGAATAATGTTGAGATATTCTGTGTTAGACCCTGACTCCATGCCTAATGACTAGGGAGACAATGATCCAATTGCTCATGCATTCTGTTACTCATTAGCCACAGCAAGCAGGGAGTAAACACCAGAGCACACTGCTAGCCATTCAAAATGGAGATGGCTTCGGACTAGCTCCCTCACAGATGCACAGCCTGTGAAACTGGGGAGCAGCCTTGAAAAATAGTTCTTTTCACATTTATACACTTTGGTTCATGCTCATTACCATTTACTCCACCTTTGCCTCTCCTTTGTTCCACCTATATCTCCTCCTATCTCAAGCTCCGCCTCTGTTTACTGTTTACTTCATTAGCATGGAATTACCTATGCATTTCACTTATTTACATGTCTTTTTGCTATGAGTGCATGTCTAAGACCTTGACTCCTGCTTCTCTTGGTTACTTGGACTTCGACCAAAGCCTGGAAGCTTCTGGAGACTTCTTCACCAATCACCATTCACCTTTTTGCATATATTTATTTTGGATTCTGTTACCAATTACGTGTTGTCTTCTACATTCCAGTCTGTTTTTCAGTCCCATGTTGTACCATCTTCCACATTCCTAAGACTTCACCTCATTCACAGCACGCAGACTTGCACAGACTCACTTGAAAATGGTTGACACAGTTAAGATGGTTACTTAGCATAAGCAAATGACTGGCTTAGCATAAGCACTCATAAGCAAAATCTGCTTTACCTTCTAACGATGCATATTTTGCAACACTACTATATTGTTAAGAAAATGCTTGCCTAAGTGTTTTGCAATGTTACTTTTAATATATTATTCTGCCTTGTGGTTAGCAGCTTGCTAAATCACCGGTCATGCCTTTATTCAGCTGCAAATCCAATGCTCCCCAAGATCCAAATACAGTCACCCTAACACTATGGCTCTAGAAGGCAGAAGTTCAAAGCCTTGCTCTGGGCTTGTGCCCACCACTCAGGGAGGCTGCAAATGGATCACTCAGGTTGGGTAGTCAAACATGGCCAGATGTGATGCTACCCACATTTTGTGATGTTGGCTACAGAAACTGGTATCCTTATGGACTGTTCAGCTCTGGCCCCACTGCACCCTGACATCCCCACTCACTCTGAGTCCAGATGGGAGACTACATTCTAGGATACTGAAGGACTTCAACTTGGGCAGAATAGCCGTGGGAAGTGGCCACATGGCAATGGAACAAGAACAAAATTAGGCAGATTGGAGATAATACTGCCCTGGAGTAACTTTAAAACTAATAACAAGTGTGCTTTAAGTCACTTAAAAGGTGTTAACGTGCAGCCAGTCCAGGGGTTAAGAGCTCCAGAAGCCGACTAAATTTACCATGTAACAAGGTTCTTAGTGTAATATGAGTTGGGTAACACAGATTAGAGGTAATCCTGCCCTGGAGTGGAGTAATTTTGAGCCAACTAATGAGTGCTGAAAACTAGTTTCGGGTGTTAATGTAGAAACAGTCTAGGTGTTAAGAGCTGCAGCAGCTGCCCAAAATTACCCTGTAACAAAGCACTCATGCTGTTTAATGGGGAGTTGCCTGTCCACTTTCCTTTGTCCCATTAGGTTTATAATTTCCAGCACAGCCTTATTAATTTTCCATCACTAGACAAGGAACGATTTGACAGCAAGTGCTGGATTAATATCTAATTGATTGATTCTGGTGTAGCAAAAGAGTTGACAGCCAGGGGCCCTTAGTCAGCAGTGTGTTCCAGTGTTTCAGAGCAGGTAGGGCTTGCAAATGGGGTGCCTGGATTCAGTTTCAGGTTCTGTTACCCATATACAGCCTGACTCTGAGCAAGTCACCTGATCTCTCTTTAGCACAGTTTAACCATAAATAAACTGATGTTTGAAAAGATCATTATAAGCCAATTAGTTCTTGCAAAGCATTTTGAAAGTCACAGGCAAAGCAAAAAATATTATTTAGCACAAGATTTCAGAAAGTAGGGAGAAGAGAGGTTCTAACTTTAGTTTTCAAAGGGTTTTAGAAATATGCAG